TCAGCTGACCTGCCTTGCGTATGCTATACGAATGGTGCGCATAGTCTTGATTTCAGTACCACGGTCTTCATTGTCTTTCCGACTATTTTCTTTTTTTTCCTCAGATTTGTCCAGATGTTCATCACAACAAGTAGCTGAGCGCTAGATTCTCGTATAGTTTTACCAAGCTTCCTTTACGAGGCCGAACCGCCACGCTAAGCTCCCTGTAGTTTCCCCTAAGTTGTTTGTAAAAACGTCGTTCCATAGATGCTTTCGTCTCCTTAGTTTCCTCTGTCTTGCAAATTTGCTAATTGGATTTCAGTCTCATATCGACTTCACTCTTCTGGTTCTGATACTGGTCAAAAGTGCAGAAATCTTGGCGTCACCAAACAATCGGACGCCATTGAAAATAACAGCTAGACGCCCGCTTCAAACCTCATTAACGATTTTCCTCATAGAATACTTCATTTCTATTTAGCGTTATTAGCAGCCATATATTTAGAATTTTTCATTATATTACAGTTTTTAATTTGCCAGTTGACGATGACATATCTCCCCGCAAAACTCATATTCACCAAGGACTCATATATGTGTATGCATGTATAAAGTAGCGGTAAATTCGGTCACAGATACTCACCACCGCGCGGTAAGCCATTGTATTCTAGTAGCATATGTTGGTTTGCACTTCTGTAGTGCCGAAACGATAGTTAATGCCTGACGCTGCTGCTGTTGTAGTGTCTTATCGCCGTAACAACCGCCACGGACTTTCTCGTTAGTTGTATTTCCTGAAGCGCTCGCAAGCCAGCGACCTAGTCTTCGGATCAAAAAAGGTATTGAGGCTTCAACGCTGCACATGTTTTAGACGTTCAAGTTCGACTGGTCTCTTACGAAGTTCTTTCAGCCGTATCCGATGCTCGCGTGCCTCTGGCAGGCATAGATCTCCGATCTTTTTTCGCTTTTTGCTGGATCACGTCGCTAGCCTCCGAACCTTTTCATTTCTCATATTGCTTCAACTCTGACAAGAGGAAAGGCCGCAGGAGCCTACAGTTAGTGAGCTCGGGGGGTTTAGACCACACAGATATCGAGCGTTAGTCACAGCTCTGACCCACACTACCGAACCCCGAGCATAAGTGACAGCAACTTCGGGAGGCCTTTCAGCATTGCAAAAGTTTCCTGATGTATGACCATTACGTACGGGCGGAACATCCACCCGTTTCATCAGCTTTATCATAGTATTCATCTTCACACCTCAATAATGGCGTCGTTATACTGGTTCAACTTTTGCTATACTTGGAAAAATAAATACTTACACGCAAAGACCCCTCTTAACCGTAGAGCGCTGGCTGATTCTAGCAGTGGCCCGGATAGTGCTAACAGATTGCAGTCTCTGTATGAGCTCTGTGTTTGCTACATGAGCAAATGGCAATGCTGTGTGAAATTTTCAGCTGGTCCAGATCAACGACAGGTACGGACGCGCAGCAATAGCTAAGGCAAAGGCGAACGAGGAACTTACGATTGTGTACACGTATAGATTATCTAAGTACGTTTGTACAATGGGTCATTCGTGAAAATAGAAGTTTTCGGTGTTACTGATACTGCTACTGTTGGAGACTCGGATATGTCTAAGACTAGATTAGAGTGGATTTGCTAATCATGGGTAAATCTGTGTCCCGACCCGACCAATTACGATGAATGAAAGTGATGCTCGGGTACGAGACGTCAGTCTGCGATAAAGGAAATCTATTGAAAATGAATAGGAAAACACTGAATATGTTTAGCTTTTGACTTTTTTCCTTGATTAAATCTGGTTCTGTATGGATGTTTTGTCAAGAACGATTTGTTGGGCTATGCAAATTCGCGTAATAAATGACACTGCGAAGACCGTTGGAGTTAGATGGTAAATGGAGGTGGACTGACTCAATTTTTTTTTTATAGTTCCTTATAGTTAATGATTTCCGTTGATTCTGTTGTCTTCAATGAATACCGTAGTTACACCAATGGTATATTGCATTGGAGATAAAAGTTATCGCAAACAAATGGTATCAGGTGTAAGTTCTAGTGAAGTTATATGCTACGGGATATTGCTGATCGACAATTTTTTTTCCATAGTAGCAAAATGTTCCCACGTTGACACTTCTACAAACCAAGCCCTCTTCATTGAAGGCAATTAATTTGTTATTGTTTTTAGCTATCGCTCAGCAAGAGTTTAATAGACGGAAGCAAGAAAATCGCGGTATTTACTGGCGCGTTCAACTGGCTTGAAGTCGATACGTCTGTTTACCACCGTCGCCGCACACTCATAGAAACACAGCATATTGTCATTGCAGCCGATATAATTGGATGCCTAAATGAACGTTTGTACGATTTTATTTTCACACTTTCCCGCCTACTACAGCAATCACTTTCGATAGGCTAATAAAGCAATAAAAGTGAACAAAATTTCCTTCTCGACTTGTGCTTTCCGCCCGTTCTGGTCGAAGCCACTCTGCACCGAATAACACTCTGCAAGACTTTACGGTACTGGCCCTCTACAAGCATTTCTAAATATCAAAAGTATTCAGTCGCGTCCATTGCCACAAAGACGCAGTCCTCGGACGGGTCGGAAGCTAACGGCAGCCCGAAAGTGCCTCTTCTTTGTTTTGCCATCACTTCTAAGAGCAATAGCAATAGCCCGTCAGTAAAATCACCATGAGGAAATCCCAGGGAAAATTGTAACGTCTTCTCTGTCTGTCAAGAAACGTTTGTACTTATCATTTACAGAAATAATACATATAATATATATATATATATATATATATATATATATATATATATATATAGCTCAAATGTAATATAGTATGAATTACAACTGAAGTTAGAAACTGTGAAAATATATCGAAAACATGCTTAGCTATGAAGCAAAACAAAATTTAGATCGCCTATATTCATACCGTGAAAGACATTTACCGTTCGGTTGTATTCAAGCTCAGTGAACGACGTATAGCAGTCGGCCGTTGTGACGATCTTCGATGTTTCATTTCGGAAACACATCTCGCCTGACACATGAAACGCTTGGCCACCGAAATTTCGGACGTTTGAGGGCAAGGCCAAAGCGGTTCTTCAAAGATCACAAATCTATTTTTAAGACGGGCATTTCCTTACGGATATGAGTGGTTCTCAAAGGCAGTGGAGTCTCCCACGCCACCTACAACGTACGTAATGCAACTAGTATTACTGGTACCAGAGCTACAATGTAATAAATAAAAACAAATAAACTATACAGAGGACATCTTTGAATAAACTTGCTTTTAAACGGAGCAACTAACGTGTGCGGAGACCAAATAGGCAGTAGTTGTTTTGCATTAGATTTGATGTTGCCTTCCCCGTGGCAGAGCGGACAGATTGAGCATTCGATTAAGTCAAGATGATTTATTACAATCGGAAATTTTCTATGGAATATTTGCTACTGGTACGAAATTCTTCACCCCAATGAAGAAAAAACCATAAATAAGCCTCCCAAAAAAAGGCTACTGTAAGCGAGGTTGAAGCTTTTCTTCTATCATATGTGAAGTTGTTCGGCTCCAGAAGGATATTGCAACTCACGATATAATTTATATTTACTTGTTTTTGTCTCCGTACAAACATCTAGCGCATGCGTTACTGATTCGAGCAGCAGTCTGCTTTTACCAAGCTCTTCTCTGTTTACTGAACCAGAAGTGTTAAATGAGTAGTGAAAGCCAGCTTGACAATTAGCCATTATTATTAAATTGTTAACATTTGTCAAACGTCTTAAAGTTGAAATGAACTCGAAACAGAGCTTCGGCATTTTCAGTTACCGAATTACGTTCCATTTCTTTTAACATAAGTGACCTTTCCTCGTTTTGTCTAACACCCGGTTCTTATATGACGCGGACGATAGCTGACTCGCTAGGAAAACTTAAAAGTTTGCATTAGTGAAAATTTATCTTCTCGACGGCCATGAATTCTAAATCGGATTTTCAGAAAATGTCTGAACAACTGTAATTTGTACGTCAACTGCACAGGCCACACGTATTACGTGTGATAGACCTTTACAAATAACACGTTTTACTTGTCAAGGTTTATCTTCGGCACATCGACGCCTCCATTCGTTACATTTACAAGTTTATTCCCAATTTCAGGCTAGTCTCCATTTTGCAAGCAGACTTAGATAGAATGACTCGAGAACAATGAGGAACATAAACGGAGACACACAGGTCCCAACTATATCTGTTCTAGACCGACAGATCGCCATTTGTAGATCAACAAGCCTTTCGGCAGATGATGTCGTCGTGTTACAGACAGCGCGGCCGTATGACCTAAATGAGACAACAACACTGGACACATACAATTCCCATAGAACGAGTGATCCGATGAACACGATCGGCCAAGAAGATCTGACCTTCTATCGGAACTCTGACATGCATTCGCAAGCCGAACAGGACTACGTAAGGGGCCAATGTCGTTCGCTATTTTAACCGGCAACAGAGTTATATTGTCAAGAATGCAAAGATGTTAGATATGTGACCTGTGTGCAATGTTTAAGCTATATACTCAAACTGCGAGACTAGCAGGAGTAATAGATTGGCGGCATATGCCAATTTACTCTTCGTTGGTCCTTCATGTGATGACTTTCGAACCTCAGATCTGTGTAAACATCAACTACTTCTAAAACCAGCTCACTTTAAAACCTGAACAGATATCTTAATAATTACAGTATGTGAATAAGTTATTATGTTTAAGGAGTATGCGATCTTCGAATGTTGTCTAAAGTGCGGAAAAGCTACGATGTGTTACAGCTGGTCGTTACGTCGGTTCCGCTCGTAAACAGGAGTCTACAGGAAAAAAAATCTATTTAAGCAGCGTTCCTGTATAGTCCTTACAATGATTGAGATATTGACCTCTGTGCAATAAAACGACTAACAACAGTGAGTAGTGAGTTCAGGAGTAGTCAACCGAAATAAGTAATAGCAAAATAGCTAACTCCTAGCTATCTTTCAATTTTTGTTCTACTTTTATTACAGTGTCGAAATGTCCGCCCAAGAAGAATGGCGATCAAGCCCAAACATCAGTGAGTACGTGGCCGAGGCGTGGGTTTTTCTCGGCGGATCTAAACATCTTCTAGAACCAAAAGATCTCCAGACGACATCTGATTTCACAGAAAGACCTTCTTTATCGCGGATCATCGAAATAGTGGGTTATATCACCAGCGATCCGCTCTGCGTATGGGTAAGTCGATTGACGACTCAGGTTCTCGTCGTTGTATATCAATTTCTATATTTACACACACATCATTATAATAAGGAACAAAATTCGGATGCGCCGATCCGATACAGAAAGCTACTAGCCGCACAGGCAGAACAAGGCATAACACACAGGCATAAAAGCACGTATAGTCAATTAGAACCATGTCTATTTTCAACTTATTCATTGGTTGGTGGTTGAGAATGGTCCTGGTTTTCCTTCTCTCTCTAATCAAGGCTATAGTAACTGCAAAAGGAAAAAAAAGCAGGACGAAAACGCACTGATGTCGATGATCGGTTTACGGTATATTAGCTACTACTTCAATGTTATAAGTTATTTATCTGATCAGTGTTCGAACAGCAGGTATTTAGAAACGTGTCAGATGATTGGCGTCACTGTGAGACCGGGCGAGGACCTACTTGCAATAACAAACGGTAGTTATGAGTAGTATGACCGTTGTTATCCTAGCGCTGAGCTATAGCCCAAAACATCATTGTCATCGTAGGCGACAAAATTGGCCCTCTACTTACTAATAGCTCCGACAAACCTCGCTCTTCGTCATACACTATCAGCCGTAACATTGACAAACTGAATAAATCAATTTACGAATCTATCAAACAGTGACTTACTTGAATACATATTGCAGTGACAGGGTCATAAACGCATGCTCTCGTAAAACCCTTGGTGCTAATAATAGTCACCGTAATACCAGCGAAAAAAAAATAGTAAACCTTTTCAATTTCTACTAGGATCATCGTTATGCGTAGGCGATCACAAGTTACAAAGGCGATTACGCTATCAAGCAGATGATTAAGATATAAGTTGGAATCAATGGCGACCAGCTACGCGAGCAAAAATAATCAAATCATCAATCCAGTGGGACATTTCAGTTGGTGCTTCCATTACGCAGCCGAACGTCGCCATGAAACCATAGGGAAACGCCGTTCTCGTTCAATAGCAAACGCGATCTAGTAGTAGCTATGCTTAGCGCTGCAGTTTGGCTGGCGGCGACGTACCGACGTAGACTGCTTGCCTTCCCGACTGAACGGTCGTGATGAACGTTGTTTGTTATCGAGTGAAGCAACGGTATATCGAGCGGCCGTTGACGGCCAAGGTTGCCTCCTTCAGCTGATTCGCGCTGTAACATGGCAGTGCCCCCTGACGCAGACTACCCCGGATGTTATGACGTTACGGTGTTATGTCGATGTCGGGTTCATATCATGATGCTTTGGCTTTTTACTTTTGTTGCTGTTAACGTTCTTGCCAATATTGCGGAATCAGCGTGATTTCTTAACCTGCTAAGATACGAGCTATAGCGACTGCTTATGTATTGGCCTCTGCGGTCTCTGTTTCGCTGCGTACGCTGTACGTACCGAGAGCTGATGATAAACACCGACCACGGACAGACTAACGCATAGGATGCCGGTTGTGATATACGTAGAGTGACGCTGAGATGAACACGAAGATCCGCGTCTGAAGATATTCACTGCTGTAAGATGGTTAGCAGCAACTGAACTTAATGCACCGACGTCGTTTTTAACGTCTATGAGAATAGATACAATCGAACACTATGAAGTTCTATTATTCGAAGAGTGGGTCGATTTATTTCCAGAGACGGTGTCGACCATTTCGTTCGACCAGCTACCTATTAGCCTAAGTAAGTATATACTTAAGTATTTAAAGCGTCCGAATGAGCTTTTTCGCCACGGATCCGTTTCGTGCTTAACTCAGTCATCCCGTGAACAATGACTATACTCCAGTTGAATCATTATTAAGCAGCTCGTACCGGTCCAGTTTAGACGTCTATACAAATATTACTGCACGAACCCAGCAGGTGCAATCGATAGCTGTTCCTATGGCGACACAACGACAGTCGTCCGATCTGATGGAAGCCGTTCCAACGAACTGTGTCCGGCCGGTTTTCTCCGTTCGTCTGTACGCGCCATCTGTACGCGAACATAAGTAGTCTGTGACCCGGAAGAAACGCTGTGGTATGTCGCAGTGAAGGTTGGACATGCGGTCTTTCGTAGCCAACAATAGCAATGGAGATAAAATCATTTTCCGCCATAACATTTACCGCTCGCGGTCCTCGCTTTTGCAGTCGACACTGACGACGCCGGCAGCATGTAACACCACAACAGAGTACCGTGGTATTCTACAATCACCATTTCGCACGTATTTACTCATAGCAAACGGACGTTTACGATAGCCTTTGCTTGCCTGCGTGTATATACTTCAATGAACACTTCATAACTGCTCAGTTTAATAGTATCAGCAGCTACTGGCCTGTGTTTATTCCAGGATACGCTCCAGGATATAGTGACGGTGATCTGAGATGTCGATCGTCAAATGCAAAGTAAAACACGGGAGTGGGGGGCGAATTCGAATGTCTTTCTTCGATACTATATATAGCTATAGTGAACGGAACAATTAAACGTAGAAGCGTCCCGTGCTCTTACCCTTTAGGAAGTTACTGCGCATTTGTGTGTTTCATGTATAGGACGGTGTATGTATGCGGATATCGGTGTCGGCTCTTCAGAAACTGAGCTGCGAGTGATTAAAGACTGCATAACGCCAACAGAAACGCTAAAGTAGCCGTTGCGATAAGGCAATTTTTGCCCGTGAGCAATGCTTTTTGATGAATTTCCTATTTGAATGACTGACAATTATCCATAGGATATCGAAATTGAATTCCTACAAATTGAAGCAGCGGGTAAATAAATACCTTCTAGGTCTAACGATACGACGAGCTACTTCCGTTGGCCGATGTCAGTCGTATGTTACCCTGTCAACTGTGTAGCTTTGCTTAACGATCTCGCTGAAGGTACCGTTTGAAATTGGAGTTTGGCTTCCCTATTATTTAAAGGCTTTATTTATTTATTTATCGGTGTGCAGAAGCCCTGACATTTGGCAAAACAGTTGAAAACCAGTACATTTTCGTTTATTTTGAGTTAAGCTTACTCAAGTAAAATGGTCGATAATTGCTTGAGTTGACCCGCACCTCTAAGGTTAAGCACCTGGTAAGTTTGTTGTTTTTAGGCTAGCTTTTCAATACATTCAATCCATATTTTCCCGAACTATGAAGATGGTTAATAACTGAAAAACAACAAAATCCTGTTAACATTTTGTTACTGCTCACAGTCATCAATCTTTGCACGACGACCTCCTAACTTATCTCCCAACTAACATCCCGTTAATGCCACAGCACAAAGTTTAAATTGATTTCTAAATAAGCGTTTCCCGCTCTTCCGCCATTTCGCGCCGCGTGACCACTATTCAAGTGGCGAAGTACAGAAATCAGCGCCACAACACTCGCGTCTACCTGCGATCGGGGGCGATTTAGATTTCGATTTCGTCGCACTGAGGTCTACGGCAGGGCCAGCGTTGGTGCGAGCGTCGACGTTTACATTGCCCCCTGGCATTAGCTAATGACCCAATGAGCTGGATAACTAGCTTGCGCAGTCGAACAATTTACCTGTCCTCACATTAGCTGTATTTGATTGCTCTGTGGTGCAAAAAAATATGATGTACTGCTTTCCAGCTATCTGCGTCAGTGAGTCCAAAGACATGAGCATACCGGTTATCTATAAATGCTTCTTACATAGATTTATTCCGATCGTTTTTCTATCGATGACATGCTTACTAAACTGAAGTCGTCGCCGTAATCCTGTTGTTTTTATTGCTAAATTCCGCCAGGCGCGTAAAATATAAAAAAACGTAAATCAGTAACGTACATTTTTTTCACTTTCTGCAACTACAAATCTGTCTACACTGCAATCGTATTCTATGTTTACATATTATGTACAATATCTGTCTTTATAATGAAATTAGAATCGGCTTGTAGAATATATTACTAATATATCCGTAATAACATGTATAATGTGAAATGGTTTATATAAGGGCGAAGCACGCTGCAGCAAGACTGTTGCCCTTGTTGTTAGCAAACCTATTGATATTGTTATTGATGCAGTATTTGTTGTTATCGGTGTTGTTGTGATTGTTGTTAGCGGCCTTGCCGTGGCAGTAAAGATTCCCTTCGGCGCTGTTCACTGTCGTTGGCTATTCGGTATCAACTTGTGGCTGCTGTACGAACCACTTTCCTCGATGTATCCCCGCAAGAAAAACAATATACTTGAAGCAGTGCCGGCTGCGCCAATCAACAACCATAGCAGTTGTTCTTTGAGACAAAGCCGTGGAACTTCGAATCTGCAGAAACGTTGGTAGACTCGGCCGACCGGGTGGGTAATGGCGAGCTTGAGTCAGGTGAAAAGGAGAACACAAACGAAAATATGTCATAGCCAACGGTCGAAAGAATCGCCGCTAGGACGTTGCGAGCCAATCATAGCAGCAATACCAGCCCGAACGGGGAATTAATCTTTGCGTCTTTTGTTGGACGTGGAAGAAAGCGAATTTGCCTAATTTGGCGCTGATCTTTTGCGAATTTTATAGCCTTCCAACGCTAGATTTAGTGGACGATAGTGGGTAGTTTAGTGCGATCCGTTTGACGATAACTTTTTTGAAGTTCATTATTCGATAACCAGCATAGCATGGACAATTTAAGGTGTGTTCTAAGCGCGCCAAGTATAGGACGAGACGCTGGTAGTTTAGCGTAGGCCAGAAGTGGCCTAGCATTGATTCGTGGTAGAAGTTAAGCCAGTGCAGTTTTCTTCAATCGCACTTGCTCATGCCGATCCTAGGTCTTGCCGGGATTATAATCGGAATGGCTTACCAGGTGTGGGGCTCGACAAAAAGTGGTGAAGGTAATCTGTCAGTGCGGGAACGCTGAGTTGAATTAAGATCAATGTACATAAATGCAGGTGTATTGATTTCAATTAATAACGTTACAATCAATAACGCTAACATATGTCGTACTAAATAGCGTTTTCTCGTAGGTTACTGCCACAGACAATAGTAAAATACTGAGCAGACGTTGAAATACGTCAGAACGGAGTCATTGACGGAAAGCATTGCTGCTGTTCCTGCTA